CCCACGACCTTCAGATCGTGAGTCGAGCTACCTAACCACTTGGCTATGCCAGGCCAAAGGTATATGTGAGAAGCATGTCAAACTGAGAGCAAGCCCAATGAAAAATCTGAGATTGGAGAGACCATTTTGTAGGTAGAATCCTGTCTGGCTAAGAGAACCCCTGGCTTATGACAAGCTGTGAGACAAACCCAATAAAAATGAACACAAAACAGCAGGTCCAGCTTTTAATTTAAAAAAAAAATTTTTGGGGGCACCATCCAAGATAAAATCTTTCTTGGTTATTTCAGCTGACTATGTTTAATAGCTTTAAAATAAAAAAAAAAAAAATTGGGGGGCACCATCCAAGATAAAATCTCTATTGGTTACTTCAGCTGACTAGGTTTAGTAACAGTTACCATCATCAAATGTTCTTGTCAATTATATTGCTATTTTGGCACCTCTTAAAGTTTTAGTCAGATGTCCTTGCCTATGGATATTGTGAGATACTTAGGAACATAAGAATTCTTGGGTGAGTTCTACAGCTTCCATTCAGAGCTACCTCTACTGAATATAATCAGCAAAACTAACCAATCTGATTCATTGAATTCTGCCAAAATCTAATTACCTGTGACATAGTCACCAATTTAACTACACTTGCCAGTTCATATAGACACCTGATAGTGGATCTCAGAAATGGATGGCAGCTGCAGGTGACTGAACTGCAGTTCACTGAGAAGGAAGAGAGGGAAACTATGGACACTTTTCATATAAACTGCATCAGTACATTATATGGTAACAAAAATGCAAGGTTTTCAAACAGTGTGAAAATTCTATCTTGTTTCTAGATCTTTAATTTACTGGCTTTTCAAATCTTGCCTTTAATGAGTATGGACATGAGGATATTTATGAGCTCTCCTCCTATTTCTTCCCAGCTGACAACGCTTCAAAAACTAAGAAGTGTGAGTTAGGATACTTCTACCCCCAACATCCATGGAATATTGTTTGCTTCAACACAAACGAGATACACAGCTTTGATACAAAATATGTTACGAAACTGTAATTATTCTGAGATAAATAATGTTTTCATTCCTAGTGACTATCTTCATTTACATGGTGAAATTTCAAACTAGTGAGTGGTTTCAGTATCAAAATACAAAGAAATGGTTAAATTAAGTAGTCAATGTTTTAGTCAAATAACCTTCACAGTCCCACTTTTAAAGTAAAGAGTGATTTCAGTAACTGCCATTTAAATTTCTCTTTACAGGAAAGTGAGATGTTACAGACAACAAACAGTACTAACATATTTATATATATTTCCCTTTTGTAGTATTGTAGTTTTATATTGTTTCAAAGTAATTCATGAAAAGGACAAGCAACAATTATTCAACTGGTCAATTGTAAACATAAACACAGAAAGTAATTAACTACACATTATTGTATTAATAAAATACTGCAATGAGTTAGTAAATCATTTAAAATGGTTTATATGTTTGTCAATACATCAAGTTTTTATTTTGGCTAAAAGCATTTAAACCCTCACTTTACATCAAGTTAAGCAGAATCCACCTAGCCAGAAGCTTGAGTGTTAAACTAATAAATAATAATATGCAAGATAACACCAAAAGAAGCTATGTGACATAAATACAAGATAGTATGAATAAAAAATAAAGCCTCAGTTGTGCTTTTGGGTATTCTATTTATAAGTAATCATATCACAGAAGAGAAGAATTTACATCCTTAAACTATCATCAAATATCTTAAACAAATGATTTAGTGAAGAGTTTGAATAACCCTGTATTAAGTATACATCCATGTGTAGAAAAAAAAATTTACACACATTTAACAATTAACATAACACATATTTGATTAAGTTATAAGTAGCAACTGTGATCATGTATTACCTGTGTCAAATGAGTCTGTACTATTACATGCACTTATTATTAAAACTACAGCTGTCATGCTTCACTTTCTGTTACCACAGAATGGCTACAACTTCATATGGTGTTTTTTTGTTGTTGTTTTTTTATACGTGATGCTGCCTATTTTATTTTTACTTTCTGGGGAATCTTAAAATAGAAAGTGAAAACATATAAAGTAAGAACTAAACTTGGAGGTTTGAACACGACAGCATTTTTCAGAAATTTACGAGTTCTATCTCTGATGAGAACACTTCTGTCATCTAGTTACTCATAATAGTATTAATTATGAAACATTATACTAAAAGAAGATTAAGAGATATGCTGAAATTCAAATATTTACTGCCATCAAAGTTTGAATGAAAATTAATAGTTACGATATAAAGCATTGTTTACTCAAAAATATAATTATGAATTATGTAAGTCATGCAAAATTTTACAAGTAATCCTTCAATCAAGTAAACCAAGAAAAATATTAAAAGAATAGGAAAATATCATAGTTATTACAAAGTTATTTGTTTAAAACTAAATAAAAAAAGTTTTTGTTCTTAGCAGCAAAAGTTAAACTGAATGAAGAAAACTGACCTTATCGGGTTCTTGAATTACATAAATGCAGTATTTAAAATCTCTCATCTAATGTATTTTGGTCAATTGCACTAAAGGAGAATATGAGTCACAAACATGTAGGGAAAAATAATTTTTAATTGATTTCATATAAAATGTAATTATTACCCTTACAATTAAAATAGAATAATGAAAGCATTCAAACATTTATTTCCTTATCCTTTAAATTGGTACTTCATTCTTAATTGCCACAATTAAAGTATCTAGTGTTTCATATTAAGGCTTAAATTATTTAAGGTTGTACCTTGGACATAAAACAAGACACCATAGACATCTCTGGAGGAACAAATTGTTCTCTATACGTTGGGCGGTCTTCCTTGATAGTTGCCTGAGCTGTGCTTTGACCAAGTTGCCCAAGAAGTTTCATGTGAAGCTTCATCCTCTGCTTAGAAAGTGTATTTAATAAGCCTTCCTCTCCTGGTGTACTTTCTACAAAAACAAATTAGACAGTAGTGTATAAATTCCATAATTACTATGTGGATAAATGTAAAATATCAAATGGAATTGAAACTGTTTTTTCAATATTGTACAAAAAAAATAACTTTGCAATCTTTTTTTTTTTCTTGTGCAAGTATTCTGCATGTAGTATTGACATCCTTGTAATCTAGATGTTAAAAGTTTGTAAACACTGATCCTTTAGTTTAGAATATGTTTACAAATGGCTATCCAACAGTCACTTCTACCAATCAGAGCCTGTGTCTGCATCCACTCCCTAAGTACAGCATGTCATCTCAGAGACTAATTCAGATACTTGTACAAGTTTGTACAATTAAGGGTTCTCTCTCTAAAATATGTTATTTTTAATAGTCACTAATGTAGGTAATTATTGATTATGGAATATTGAATAAGGACCTTTTTTTTTGACAAGAAATTGTATATTAACATTATTCTTTCTTAAATCCTTGTTCTTTTGAGAAATGATTCTTTCACCTTGTTTTGTTTTATTTTTTTTAAGCACAAAGCTACACAATGCACTATCTGAGCTGTGCTCACCACAGATATTGAAGCCCAATTTTTAGTTATAAGTCTGCAGATATACCGCTAAGCCACTGGGGCTCTTTTTACCTTGTACTCTTCCTTGTGGAGACGTATTTGAAAATCCTTATCCAGCCCCAGCAGACAGTTTTAGTGCAAACTAATTGAAGGTAGACACCTTTATTTTAACAAAGACATTGTATGTGTGAATAAAAATATTTTATTGTATTTGTTTTTTATTAGTGTCCATGAATTCTTTCACCATTTAAACTCCTGAACCTGCATTTTGCAAATACTTTAATTTATCCAACTTCAAAAAATGTTTTTATATATTAAATCAACTATACTTTATGACAATAAACTCATACAATAAAATAAATCTCAATTTTGAAGTCCCTAGACCCAAGAATTTTCACTACAGAAAAAATAAACACTAAATGTTTTATTACAACTCGTGCTTATAAAACCTTGCACTGTTATGCAAAATTGCAACTATTTCCAAAATGACATGGATAACATCACTCTACCTAATAAGCCAGTATAAATAACACTTAAACCTTAATGTAGTTTGCTTCTAACACAAGGTAAAAAATTATTTTCACAACCTTATAACAGTCAGTCTCTCCAACAAATTTGGCAGTTTGAGATTTATGGTGGATTTATTAGAAAGTCATCATACAGTGTAAGGTGAATTTTGCTATTAAAGTTAAAAGAAAGTTAAAGTAATATTCAAAAGTGGATACTGTGAAATTATACAGCCAACTATATGTACATGTTCAATTTCAAACAATACAAAACGTTTTAACATAATTTTCTAGAAAATATATGTAATATTGCAACTTTATTATTATTAAACTGGTAATGAGAACTTTATATGCCTTTAAGATTTTTTATTGTTTTCATTTGAAATCTATTCAAAAAGAAAAGAACGAAACAAGAACCCATACTTGAGTGATTTTTAAAAATGGTTTCTAAAGTATTCTAGGGATTTTACATAAATGATCTATGGTACAAAATCTTACTTTAAATGGTGCAGTAAATCATGAAAAATTAACCAACTCATAAACTTAATCAGTATTTTAATACTAAAAAAGAAGAATAATAAAATACAGATATGAAAAATGTATGTATGATAATTATAAAATGTTTAATAAAAATTGAATCATTTCAAAATTCATTAAATCTATGTAAATGAGAGAAATGTTTTAATATGTTTAAATATCTAAAAAAGAGCTAAAAACATGTTTAGGTAAAAAACACAGCAACACATATATTAAAGGAATACAAAACTAACAAAATCTTATTTATATCACAAAAGTATGTTTCTTCCACAAACAATTATGCAGAAACAAAAAACTGAGTAAACAGAAATAAAAACAAACTAGAATACTAATAACTTCATAATACAAATGAATTAGTCAACTATATGGATGAACTAAACTATTTATTTATTCTTACTTTCTGAACTACTGCTAGTTAGGGGATGTTGACCTGAAGTAGCAACATGCAACAGTCTTTTTGCACCTCCACCATACAACATGGCCCACGTTTTTTCTGACAGGTTCAGTCCTACCAGTCGGTAGAGGACTTGGCAGTCACAAGTTGCAAGCCCATACACTAGATGACTAAGATATACAGCAAAAAAAGCCTCAGATAAAAGTGTGTGCAATTTTGGTGAGTCTTCATCTTTATCACGTGCCAGCAGAGCTCTTAATGACTGAACACCTATTTAACAAAATATTATATATCAAAAATTAGTAAAAACATCTAAACAAGTTAAGATTCAATCATTAATATTTTAAAACTTATTTCAACTGTACGTTTAGTTTGGCAAAATTCACAGGGAAAACACAGACGAAGATTAAACTCATATCCAAATGGATTTATATCAAATTAGCAGATGCTCATTGAAACAATTCAATGGTAATTTTCCTAAAAATAGTGATGAATAAATTAAAAATGTGCATTTTGATTGTCTAGTTCAGTGGTTCTCAACGTGGCCACATGGCCCCCAAGAGGGCCATGCATGAATGATGGAAAATCAGGGGGCCACAGTAAATTCTGAGTGGGCCACCAAAACTTCACTGCCTGAATAAAATATTTAAAATTGAATCAAAAGTTTCCTTATCCCTATATCCCCCACACCTCAGAAGTCAAGTTACCAGATGCGACCAATACTCAAGTAACAATCAAAATTCCTGGATTGGGTGCTGGATCCGTTTGTGGTGAATGTGGTTGATGCTGACATCACATTATAAGAATGTCTCATCGAACTGCAGAGTGATATAACAGCCCAAGCTAGATTCAAATGTGATAAATATTATTTCTGGATAAGTAGTAAAATAGCTAATAAGTTTCCATAGCTCTGGGAGAAAGCAAAGTTGTATTTTATCACTTTTGCCACATCTTATCTGTTTGAATCTGGTTTTAGTTGGGTGACTTATTTGCTATCAAAAATACATAACCACCCTGATGTTGTGAAGAAAAGTGATCTTTGCTTATCACTGACCACACTGCAACCAGACATTCAAAAACTTTCAAGTGTTCATCAGACCCAAGGATCACACTGAATAAAATATCAATGATTAACAGAACATGTTTTACTTGTATAAGTAAACAGTATGTTATACACAAAATATTTAAAAACAATACAATATTGTAAAAATAATATTATAAATATATTATAAATCAACAGTGTGGAAATAAAGTAACTTTTTTCCAAAGTAACAGCATCTACAAAGGGTGGGGCCACAGAGATAAATCAAACTGAAAAGGGAGCCACAAGCAAAAAAAAAGGTTGAGATACACTGGTCTAGTTGGTCATTTACAACCATATTTTGTCACTCCATGTGTTATTTCAATAAGAAAAAACTGAACTGCATTTGTTTTTAAGCAAATGAGACTAACAAGAATGCACTAACAACAAAGTGCTGACGTTCACTAAGTAGCCATAGAGATTTTTCCCGCTAGATGCTACCATCCCTTGTCATTTTACTGAGTGCAAGAAAAGACTGAACTTTTTAATAGCTGTCAATTCTATAAAAAATGTCAAAGAGGAGATATTCAATATAACACAAATAAATTTCTAACATGGTGCAATAAAGTCATGCATGTATACAAGTAATGAAATAACTTTTCAAAAAAGGAAGTAAATGTAGGGATGGTTAATATCAATCTTTCAAAAACACTGAAATCAAGATAGTAGGGATGGCATTTGCATCCCCCATACATAATAGCTCAGGCACACAGTGTAATAGAATGTTAACAGACACATAGAGGATAAACTTAACTTAATTGTGATTTAATAGTTATATATTGCTATATGTTAATTTTTGCCTGTGTTATTATGTAGGGATGATGCAAATGCCATCCCTACTATCTTGTTTGCATTGTTTTTCAAGGATTGATATTAGCCATCCCAACATTTCCTTTTTTTTTTAGAAGTTTTTTTTTCTTTATTTGTTTGCTTGTTTTATTTTAATACAGTGTTTCAACAGACATATGAAGGTTGTATTTCTAGCCAAGGTCTAAATACAATGAGGTTCCAACTGTAACACTAAGGGCCACTCAACGCTAACATACAGTAAATCTACATTTTTTTATTCTTCAAGTTACATCATATTTTGAAATGTGAATGATAGTAGGATTAATTCCTAACAATTTAGTGTAGAATATCTTGCTTGCGAAATAAAATTTGGCATCAACATTGTTCATGCATTTTTCCATCATTTCAAAAGTGAATGTTAAGCTTTGCCTGCATGTGCACCTTTTCAAACACAGCACAGGAAGTGGCCACCATAAACAGAAGAGACAAATGCTCAGACATACACCACAGTTTGCAATATATATGAGTGGCTGGTAATTCCTATTTCATCCTGTACTTAAGGTTTTTAAACAACACCAAATGTCTGTAAGAAAGCTAACTTCAAGGGGTAATAATAACATTGTTTACACTAGAATTTTGATTTTTTTAAATTACTGCTAGTTATTAATAATACTTATAAAAGCAGATACTCCATTCGAAACTATGTCACCTCAGTGAAATTGGTTGACACCACTGTTTTGGTTTTTGAGTTATCTTATATATACATATTGTGAACCGTAATGTGTGTGAGTGTTCATCTGTCTCCCATTTGAAGAGCTGCACATTCTAGCAAAGTTCAACATTCACTTTTGAAACGATGAAAAAGTAGGCATGACTATAATCATAATGCAAGTGTATAATTTTATTCCATTGAAAATCTGTAAATCTCTTAAAATAGTATGTTTATATGTATGAAGACACACATTTGGCTGTAATAAAACTACTGAGTAATATATATGTGGTATTAAATTCTATACATTTTTGTTTTTCCCATATCATATATGAAAAACTGACACTAAAAATTTATTTATTATTTTTTGCACAAAAGTAATAAAGGGATTTGGGTTTCAAACATATACCCTAAGAGTGTAATATAAGCAGCAATGCTATCCACTTAAAAGATAAATTCCTTCTTCCTACCTGGCCATTTACTTGGAGCAGTATTAGGAATAAGAGGATCCGACCCATCGGAGCAATAACGATGTCTTCTTGAATATCCTGCAAGAAGATGACTGTTGTGGAAGACAACACTGGAGCTAAAAAATGACACAAAATAAAAAAAGGTTAGAATTTCATACAGATATCATCATGATAAATAATGATGACTGAAAAGAAAGTGCAGATTTTTATTAATATTTAAATTATATGTCTGTTTACAGTCAATTACCCACTAGATGCAAAATGAATAGAATAACAATACAAAAGAATGAGATGGACACATCTAGAATCATCCTAGATATTAGAACTGAGCAGACATTAGAAAAAAAACTGAAGCCCACAACAGACAAAAATTCAAGATACAAGTGCAAAAAAAATCAAAGCTTTAAGTATACATACAAACACACACACACACTCAAGGCTTAATATTAATGTGAATAAATTATAAATACAACATATGTTCCAAACTTAGAAAACTTGAACAAGAACCATTAAAGGTAAGAAGAATCAAGTCAACCAACAAATTTATTATTGGTAATACACAATATTATTTTACCAACTTAAAGCCTAACAGCTGAAAACAAAATAATGATACTGACTGAGGCATTCTTCAGGTTTATTTTTATTTACATGGGTGAATCATTTTCTGGCAGCATTGTTGAATGAAAGGTTAAAGGGGCAAAAAAGTTAAATCCAGTTCTGAATATGAGCATATGAAGTTATAAAAGATGGGAAAACAAAGATTTCACTTGCAAAAATAGCTTTCATTATATGTAGATCAGCATTCTTGTTTCAATTTTAAATCAAATTTAAATTCACAGGAAACACTGTCAAGTTAATATAGTCAATATTACAAGCATATTTATTAACTTATGACGAATTTATGATAATTTTTATTTATTTTTCAAAACCTTTAAATGCTTGTTTTTATTAAAAATTACAAATTGTTAGTTTATGTGTCAGATGTAATTGAAAAATACACAATGACCATAATGATGTAGTTTTTGGTCCTAAATACCACAACTAGATATTAAGAATGTGAAGTATGTATCAGATATTTATTTAAAATATATTTATAAAGACTTCCCTTTTAAAACAAAAATATTATAATCCAGTATACACTGTAGTTAATGTATTAATGAGAAAACATTTACCAGGTTGAAAAATCATTAAATACAAAGGAGTTTAAAAATTGTAAAAAAATTAAGTGTCAATTAGTGATATTTTTAAATTTCCTAAGTATAAATCTTCCTAATATAGAATGCAAATAGAGAGTCCAAAAATCACCTCATCAAATCTTCAGTTCCCAAAGTGGAACTACTCTGCTTCACATTGAAATTGTCACTATCACACAGGGACTGGTATATGCAAGCAGAAAGAGCTGTGCCTAACCCTTGAAGTACATTAACCTGGTTGAAGTTTCCTCTGTTAACAGAAGGTGGATTACCTATTTCTGTAATGCAACGAAGTATGTCATGGGTCATAGCCTAGTGGAGAAAACAAAACAAAATGAAGAACCTCAATCTTTACTATGTAATTCTTTTTGATTTTCTTAATATACATATTAATATATAATAATTCTCTATGCATTTTTTTAGTTCTAGCATTTTTAACATCAATATCTAGAGTTAAAAATTAGAGTGTACATCTCATTATCATTCCCATAATGTTTTTTCTATTTCTGATTAATTGAACCAGTCAGTATGACTTTGATATTTTTTATTTATTTTTTACTTGCTTGTTTTTAAAAAGAATACAATAGCACAGTTTTATGTTCATCAATTAGTTAAACATATTAAAAGTGTCAAAAATGTGATCTACAAACTGAAAATGTTCAGGTTTTGACTATGAAAAGAGATTTCTCAAAACACAAGTAGTACTTAGAACCTTTGACATTCAAAAAACATTTTGTGATTTCTGGAAGGCAAATTTAGTGATATATTTATAATATCTAAAATTGATACAACTATTTATCAATATGAATGTTTTTGAAAGTGATTAATTTTTTTTAAAGAACATATGCAAATTAAATGTGAAGAATTATCATCTGTCTCAATATGAAGAAAAACTAGATTAAAACTTAAGCCACTGTAAAGGCCTAAGGCATACTTTAAAATTCAATACAACAGTCTAACTTATCAAAGATACATATATACATACATAAAATATAAGGACAAGAAGAGATTTGGTCCATCTTCACCATCCCATCCACTATAATAAATTCTAGAATAAAAATAAAACACTCAAAGCCAAAACTTATCATTCAAGTATTTATCAAACCTTTCTTTAAATTCCCTTAAATTTACTGCATCCACTACATCTGAAGGCAACCCATTCCAATGGTCAACCACCATGTAAGAAAATAAAACTATCTAAGCTGAAGATTGCCAAAATTTATATTTGTGTCCCTTAGTCTTACCATTCTCACCATTAATATGAAAAAAAAAAAACACACGATGCATCAATACTATCAATTCCCTTAAGGGAAAATCTTAATGAGACCTGAATAAGATTGAACATAACATCCTTCATCAACTTGTAATATAAGACAATAACATCCTTGATCAACTTGCAAGTATACAAATACTCTTCCTCAGTTTGTGAATATTATTCAAATACAGTTTCTGAGTATTATACAAATAGTTAGTTAGTTAATAACACCTTTAGTTGAGCTTTCAACTTACCTGAAGGTGACGAATGGGATCAGCTATGACAGTCTTTTGGCAAGCAACACTCGCTGCTAGGAGAGGTAAAGTAGTTGGGAATGGAAGTGGAGAAAGTAACTGCTGTTGGGAACGATCTTGTTGGAGCTCTTGAAGCAACAAAATAAGTTCCATACGAACAGCTGCTAGGCCACCCCCTTGTGCTCCATGAAGGCTGCAGTAACTCAGTAATGTACGTAATAATGTCTCGTTTGCTTTAAGCCACTGTTTTCGTTTATACGCGCGTCTCAGTTTGGCTTCAAAGTCTTGCTTGTCAGCCTGTAAAATCTCGTGTAAGGTGGGTCTGTTTTCGCCTCGGCTTTCAGCATCCCAGCGAATAGTCATGGATGAAAATAGCTGCTCTCCTCCAATATCTAGAGATTCTACACCAATTACATTCTCATTACCTAGGAATCAAAATTACTAAGATGAAAAATTCTGAGTCTCGAAACAAGTTTAGTGTGTGACTTGATAAATTATTTACCAGATGAAATATTAAGACATAAATATATATATATATATATATACACACAAAGAATCTTTCAAGTTCTTGGTTCTAAATTTCCAAAAAAATTTAAGTAGTATTTAAAAAGCTAAAAGTGATTTTAAAAAAGAATTTAGGTATAAAATACAAAATATCTTTGTGGTTAAACATAAAAAAGGGTGGATTAGTTTGTGTGTAGAAACTTGAAACTTCTTTTTAATTAAGAAGTTGTGTTTTTAAAATATAAAAAATAGTGTTACCATAATTTGCATATATAGTTATATATCTATGCCTATACACATTATGTCTTCAAAAAGTTATTCACAGTGATCTTTATAGTGATAATACATGTCAAACACTTTGTTTTCCCAGTCAGCAGCACTCTACCACCATGCTTAAGAATTGACTGTCATTCTTATAATGCAATAACAGCTTAAAATGTGGGGAATATTTCATGGCATCACACAGATCCAAGACCAGCTTGCCAGTTCTGAAATCCACAGTTTTACCACAAGGCCAACCACTGGCCAGTAACTGAAGGAAAGTGAGTACTAATTAGAGGTTCTGAGCATATGGAAAATAATTAAATTAAATGATCTATTGGTAAATGTCTTATTTTTTCCAAACATACATCTAATAGCATGCATGAGATTATTTTTTTATAAAAAATGTGTGGATAAACCACTTAACAAAAACTATGCTAATTATTTCAACACAAGACACCTAAAAACAAAAATAATTGCATGCTTGCCAGCCACTGATCCAACTCCTTGTCAAACTTTAATACAGTAGCTACTTCAAGAAGCTTGGTAGACTTGACTATTTAATGTGCCAGTACAGGTCACCTAACTATTATCATAGTTTTCTTTATTTCATTAAGTTTCTGTTGTTTTAATGCTGTTTAAAATTACACGTGAAATGTAATGTAGGTCTATTGTCTCCAGAAAACGATGCATAAGTTGTCATTTTCTTAAATCGAAAATGTACTTCAAATAATACTTACCTCCTCTCACACTACAGCTATTAGTCAACTTCCAGGGTTTCTTCCTTTGCCCAGCTAAGCATTGGTCTATTTTTGACAGGATCTTATATGCCATACTCAACCTGAGGAAATAGAACTCATCCAGCCTGGAATTATGATCACCCATCTTCACTCCCCAAACTGAGTGGCAAGGCAAATTTTTCTTGTCTCTAGAATTATGGGGAGGATGTGGAACAAATTGTACTCATCCAAGGACCCAGGATGGTGCCATTCAGCATTCAGAATTATGAGGAGACAATGGACCCTCTTCCATGAACAATGTACTCAACCAATATTGATCAACAAGAAGGGCCATGTACAACTCACCTGGACAGCAGAGCATCAAATCTGAACTGGTATTACAAGTAGGCTGATGCCTCTCATACTGACATCTGGGAAAAAACATTCATGGACCTGGGTAGGAGGGGCCCCCAACTTTTGCCCTCTTCTCCAAAAGTGGAAGGATCACTGTCCACCATCTCAGTGACTGGAAATTGGGTGTGGTAAGGACTCCCTAGCTCCACTATTAGAATCTGGAAGGTAATGCGTGGAACAGTGCAATAGGTGAGCCAAGTTCCCTAAATTTGTAAAAGTAAAAACCCCAATTTAGTTAATTCAATGATCATCAGGGACGGGTAGGATCCCCTTATGCTTCACACATGATAGTCCATGAGTAGTGGTCCAGCATAGTAAAGTAATACCACCTGGTCAGCCTCTAGAGGGTCTTATGGAGCATCTCATTTCTACAGAGTCTGTTGCAACCTACATAAAGTATATTAAATCAGTGGTTGCTAGTGTGGAATTGGTTTGATAAAAGCACACCTACCTAGGCAACACCCACCACAGAGTGGGATCCTGAAAGGTAAAGAAGAGACAAGCATAGCAATGAAAATTCTCACTCCTCTGTATAATCTAGTGGAAATGGTTAAGATAGCTACAGGGGTAGTTGAAAACCCTTAGATGAAAATACTACCAGATCATGCAAATAATGTGAAATAAAAGTATTGGGGGAGGTCCACATACCAGCCCATACAATGTTCTTCAGCGGGCAATTCAACCAGGCTGTTAACTCTTTCGGCACAGTTCGGTCCCCGAGATTGATCTCATAACCATTTTGTGCTTGTTATAGTTTTCATGCTATAACTTTTAAATTAGTAAGCAAATGTTAACAAAATTTGGTAGATTATCAGTAAACATTACAATGCTTTCATATGCAAAATATAATTTTCTTTTATTAAGTTTTGTAAAGCAATGTTTTTCTCATGCCTTTTTTTCTTTTCGCATGTTGCCAATTTAACATGCAAAGTAATTTTAATTTTAAGTTTAAAAATACTTTTATGCATCAGAAAATTTTCAAATTTCACATGTGAAAT